TATAGGACTTCATGTTAAAAATATTCCTTTTTAACAGCGAAGAATTAATTTTTAGGATTTCTTATTCATGAGCATGCAACATACAACTGGTCATACGTAAATATTTCTTTTTGGCGCCAAATTTCAACTTTTTGAAGGGTTTGGCCTTGTGATTTGTTTATAGTTCTCGCAAACGCATGGGGAACAGGAAACTGGTTTTTTATATATAAAAAAAAACTTTAAGAAAAATATATAAAAACAATATTACATTTCTATTAAATAAGTATTTGTTATTTTAATCATTAAGTTGTTTTTTGTTTTAATAGTGGGTGTATTTTGTATGTTAAATAACAAAACTTGCAATTTTTCGCAAAAAATTAATGAACATTTATTGTACTAAGCTACGCACCTTAGTAAAAAACAATTGTACTTTGTAGTCTCTTTTTTGATTTCGATCGGTCAATGTTTGGCTATTTTAGAGGGTGTGACGGACAGACTAACGGAAATCAAATAATTTTATATATATATATATATAGAGAGAGAGAGAATGAGAGAGAGAGAGAGAGATAGCGAGGAAGAGAGATAGAAGAGAAAGAGAGAGAGATAGCGAGGAAGAGAGATAGAAGAGAAGAGAGAGAGAGATAGCGAAGGAGAGAGAAAGGAAGAGAGGTAGAAGAGAAGAGAGAGATAGCGAGGGAGAGAGAGAGGAAGAGAGATAGAAGAGAAGAGTGAGAGAGAGAGATTACAAATTTTCATGTCAGCAGAAATATACTGACGTCAGCAATTACGAAACAAAATAAGTGTTCACGACATTTGTAATTAAATTAAAAATTAAACATTATCTTTCGTGAGTTTTAGTAACATATCTGAAGTCTGAAACGAATATCTGTCACAAAATAAGCAATATCAATTGAAAATGTGTGCGGACAAGAAGGCCTTAAAGCCACACTCGACCTGGGATAGGTTTAATATTTATTCTATTACTTCCTTGTCAGCTTCATATATTATTGAATTCCTTTTGTTGTTAAACAGCGAACCCGGGCGAAATAAACTTATACCGGTGATTGATGATCCGTCAATCAAAGTCAATCCTCATTTTATTAAATTTAATAGAATGGACTATACGTTTTGAAGTCTACAGCAGTGATCGAGAAGAATAGACGTTATTTGTTTTCTTTTTTTAAATTCCTCCTGAATCAGAAAAAAAGCTTTTGTCTTATATTCCGTGTTATATAAAATAAATATTTCAGCTGTAGAATCAGCAAACAATGCTCAGCTTTCGACGGAAGCTATTCAAATTCAAATCACATTGCATTTAAAAGATATGAAGGCAAATGCCTACAAAGTAAGATATCGTGAAAACGTCCTGTCACTGGCATGCCGTGATGCTTGAAGAAGAAGAGTGGATAAAATAATCTAATACAGCTGTCTCTCTGATCAGGCAATTGTAACAGTTAAATGCTGTTACGATTACTGCCGGCCTTGACAGAGACCAATTAAACCAGATAAATACACCTCATAGTATTTAAATGTCTACTGTCCTCCTAATTGTTCTTTTCTCTTTCAACTCATTACTAATGTTTCTTCTCTTCCTAATTCCGCTATATCCTGTAATCCCTTGCTTGTTAGTGGCTGTACTGACTTGCTTGGGGTGATACCGATTAAAAACAAACAAAAATAAAACAAAAAAATACAACAACAGATAAACAGATAGAAACATAATAAAATTTAAGTGTAATTACATACATATGAAATATATCTAGATTACTGATATTACATTTGATTGGTTGATTCGTTGTCTACGGATTATCAACAATTTTCAGGTTATTTAAAGACAGAAAATATTTTTAGATTATAAGATAACTTTTTTTCATTTTTTTGTGTGTGTATGTATGTGTGACAATAATGGTTTAGTGGTGGATTAATGGATAGCGGTTCGGATTGAGGAATCAGACAGCAGAGTTCGAATTCCAATCGAATCCATTACATTCACTTACGTGCTAATACCCTTGGGAAAGTATGAATCTTCTTCTTCTCCCCCCCTCAAGCTATTGGTAAATAGCAGGACAGACCGGGTTTTATAGCCTTGGATGGCACTGGTCTACTGCAAAAAGAAATGGCAAGCTACTGCGAGGAAAATAATCTTCCTCGTTAGTCATGCATCGAAAGATACATGATCGCATAAATGTGTATCACGCATGGCACATGACTGTCTGATACAAGTGTTAGTGATTAAGACATAGAAAAAACGGGGAGAAAATATGAAGGCATATCTTTCCTAAGGGTATTTGCGCGTAAGTGAATATAATGAATCAAACGTCAATTTGAACTCGGCTCTCCGATTAGCAATTCCGAGATATCATCCATTACACCAGCCGCACATCCAGAACCCGGTATTGCTGAGCTGTCACCCATCTGGACCGACTTTACCAGAGCGACTTGATTCGAAGTTTGAAATTCTTTTTCGGCTATATTTTTTGCACAAATATTGACCCAATAAAAGACTCAATGACCAATCAAGCAAGACCGTTACTAGGGGAGGTTATGTGAGAATTGAGAGTAACGGGGCGCTGTTTATGCGAATATGTAGAAAAGATGAGGTTTGAAGAGTTTAAGATTGTAGAAATCTGGAAAGCATCCTCTTGGGATTTTGTTCCACAAAGCAACAGTTCTTGATAAGAAACTGCCCGAGTGGAAATTTCTCCTTACTAAAGATAATTCCCCACAATATACGCAGCGTGAGTGGGTCTTAGCTGCGAGGGTTAGAGTTGGGTGAATTGAGTAAACTCAGAACTTTTTGGAACATTTTCCTTGGAAATAGCTGTCATATCACATTGAAACATCGATTCTTGTCCTACCACAAAAGTTAAGCAACACTGAGATTGGCCAATACCTAAATGGCTGACCGCTTGCGAATACCAGGTGTTGCAAAACTAGATGTGCGGTTTGTGTAATGGATAACGGCTCGGAATAGGAAATCAGGGAGCCGAGTTCGAATTCCAATGTTTCATTATAGTCACTACGCGCAAATACTCTTGGTAAAGATATGAATTCCCTTCTCCCTCCAGCTATAGGTTAAATAGTAGAAATAGTATATGGAAACCATTATTATCTCTAAAAATAGTGTTAATGCAATATTCAATTGCAAAAAAAGAATTATTCTTACAATTCAGAAATATGTTTCAGATTTCCATACCCTATAAGTGGTGGATAAGCCGTAAAATAAATGAATCAAAAGTTTACTGAAACTCGAACATTTGAAATATGATTATCATTGAAAATTTAACATTTGTAATTCTAATATTTAAAATCTGAAATTTGTATCTTATCAAAAGTCTGAGATCTTTAATTTTATCCTTACTGCAAATCTAACATTTGAAATTTGATTCTTACTTAAACACTAACATATCAAATTTGATTCTTACTTGAACATTAACATTTGAAAATTCATTCTTACTTAAAGACTAATATTTGAAAATTCATTCTTACTTAAACATTAACATTTGAAATTTGATTCTTACTTAAAAATTAACATTTGAAATTGGATTCTTAATTAAACACTGCATTTGAAATTTGATTCATACTTAAACACTAACAAATGAAATTTGATCCTTACTTAAAAACTAGTATTTGAAATTTGATTTTTAATTAAACACTAACATTTGAAATTTGATCCTCAATGAAACACCCCATTTACATTTAATTATTACATTAATTCAATGGTACATAAAGGTTGCGTGTTTGTGCGTATTTTAGGTGGGTGTGTCTTCACATGTTAAACAATTAAAGAGGAAACTTGAGTTTCTACTTTGGACCGTTCATTCTTTTTTATGGTGACTGTAGTGAAAAAAAAACGTTCTTAATGTCTCTTGGGCATGTCCATTTTCCTTTTGGTCCAAGAGTTAGGTTAAGTATATATCAGCATTGTATTAATGGTTGCGCTCAAGTCAGCCTTGCGCTAAGTTGGAATAACTAAAGGAAAGAGTCTACTTACTTTATCGTAGGATGGTTTAAACATGGTTATTGGATGTTCTTTTTTCTTGGTTTAGGAGGTAGGGTATAAGCATCGTTACAATGGTCGCGCTCAAGTCAGCCTTGCGCTGAGTTCCAACAATCATGCAGAAAGCTTAATTTATTTCATAGGTTAAGGTTTTGGAAGACACTTACAAAGGACATGAGTGGAAAAGTGAAAAGAGAGAGTCAGTAGTCAGTGGACCAAGGAACCTAACGTTCCCAGCGGAAACATAATTATCACGTGATACTACATCTTTGAGCAGGGAGGAAGTCAGACAGGAAAATGTTTGTCTTTTCATAGACTTCAACAGTGCCATCTAACGGCGTTTTACGAAGCCACATATTTCCGGTTCCTTTACTCTTAGCATAATGAGAATATGTTTTTTCTTTTTCTTTTTTTTATTATTCGTTATAATTATTTTTTTTATGATTTTTGTTTCATTCTCCCACAGCACTAAGATTCGATTTACCGAAAATCTAACATTTAAAAGAATATTTCTACTCAGAACGACTTAAAGAGAGCAAGAATTCCTTATTAATAATGATGAAGGAGGGCTTGGAAAACTTAAACAATACTGGGCATATTGAGGGCAAGAGAGATAGGGGGAGGCAACAAGACTAACCAGCTTGTGGGAATGGGTAGCGGAACGAGGTTAGTAGCTTTATTAAAGGGAGAAAACTGTTAAGAGCCACACAAGACAGGAAATTCTGGAGAGACATGTTCACCTATGTTTTGAAGGGACGGTGCACATTTGATATTTAATTGACTCAAGCATTTTGAATGCGATTCTTACTGAAACTAAATTTAGCTTATGCTCTAACGTTAATGTTGTTTGTCAGGGCGTTGAACCAGGTTGAGAGAAGGGAAAATACTTTGCAGTGCTGTCGTGCACACCGGGTTGCTTGTTAAATGTGCATTCTAAATGTTTATTTTCGTATAGGTTCCCACAGCTTCCTAACTGACGCCAGTGAGAAAAAGCGTACCGAACACAACCAGGGCCCAGTCACTATAAGCATATATTAAGTAACGTGATAGATAGATAGATAGATAGATAGATAGATAGATAGATAAAAGGTTTATAGACAGATAGATAGATAGATAGATAGATAAAATAAAAAGGATAATAGACAGAGATAGATAGATAGATAGATAGATAGAAAGGATAATAGACAGACAGAGAGATAGATAGATAGATAGATAGATAGATAGATAGATAGATAGATAGATAGATAAAAATGATTATAGATAGATGGAGAGAGAGAGAGAGAAAGAGATGGATAGATAGATAAAAATGATGATAGATAGATAGATAGATAGATAGATAGATAGATAGATGGAGAGAGAGAGACAGACAGATAGATAAAAAATATAGATAGATAGATAAAAAGTATAATAGACGGACAGGGAGATAGATAGATAGATAGATAGATAGATAGATAGATAGATAGATAGATAAAAAAATATATATAGATAGATAGATAAAAAGGATAATAGATGGACAGAGCGATAGATAGATAGATAGATAGATAGATAAAAAAATATAGATAGGTAGATAAAAAGGATAATAGACGGACAGATAGATAGATAGATAGATAGATAAAAAGGATAATAGACGGACAGATAGATAGATAGATAGATAGATAGATAGATAGATAGATAGATAGACAAAAAGGATAATAGACGGACAGATAGATAGATAGATAGATAGATAGATAGATAGATAGATAGATAAAAAGGATAATAGACGGACAGATAGATAGATAGATAGATAGATAGATAGATAGGAAACAAATGGCAGAAAGAAATTTATAGAGTAATCAATCGATAAGAGTAAAATGAGACAGAAATTTCCAACGCGTTTCTCAATGATAAAATCAAATTTAGAAAATAATAGAGTTGCCGCATGCGTGGCTAAACAAGCAGTTGTCGTTGGATAATAGAAATTTGAACGGGTTGCGTGTGTTTTTTCTATAGTCTCAGGGCGCCAGTGGCGTTTGTTTTTCTTTTGAACGAGGAATTTCAGCTCGGAAATTATTGGCTGCATCCAAACAAAGGCCTGACATTACAGAACTTCATAAGAATACATTTGTAAAGACGACACGATTTTCCAGTCTCCATCCGTGTTTGAAGATTGAAGTTTTAAAGAAATACTAACAATTACGTGTATAAACGCACATATATGATAAAAATATAGTTTTAATGTTTGCTATATTTATGGGTGAAAGTGCTCAATGTCAGTGATAGAGCGTATGTTAATATAAAATTGAATACCCTGCGGTGACAGTCTGTTTCATGCTTAAAAGCAATCTTCAGGCCATCATATCCATTGATTTGATATTGACTTAGAAACATCATAAAGAAATACACAACTCTACTTGACAAAAACAAGAAAATTATATTAATTATTTATTACGAAAACTTTAAAACCACTAACTGCATCGTCAAATATAATAATTCACCTGCAAGATGTAAATTACAGAGAACCAATATTATTTACGAATTTACATGTCTCTTAAGGAGCTGTGTTGCTGGTCAAACAAATTTGTAAATATTTTGACAGATCCTGTCTAAAAGAGTTGGTAGCCAGTTTACTTGTTCCAATGAAACAGCGAACAAACGTAATAAAATCGATATTTTTTATCGACTAATCTCTGGCATTATATACAATAGACAACGCTGCATTATTTGGCTAGCTGATTTTTTTTTAATTTTAAGTTTAACGGGTTCTTACTCTATTATTCCTAATTTATATTCCCCGATTCTTACGAATTTATTTTACCATTTCTCTTGGATTATTCTGTTTGTTAGTCTCTTGCATTCTGGTAACGCCTACCAGCTTCTCCAAGATTGCCCAACGCTTGGCATGAAATATATTTTAGTCTTTACCTCAAGTAGATATAAAATTTCTAAAGCTGATTTTCAAAGCGGTCAGAACCATTTCACCTGGAATAATGTCGCTACACTATATTATGGCAAGAAAGCAATCCTGATTAATCCTTGGTGAGTAGGAAACTTGAGTCATTGCCTCAGATTGATATAATAAAATTTCAAAGATAATTAAAATCCAGAATTGTCAAAGCAAGCAGACTAACTCTACTTGGAATATTGGCACCACAAAATCTTTAGGGAAACAACATTTACACATCTCCCAAATCTGTAAAAACTGTATATTAAAATTACCTCATAAATTCATTTCATATAGAAAAATAGTATAAGACGATTCAACTGTATCAATAATCACTAAACTTATAAATTTTGAAATAATATTTTTTTACATATTTGTTGTCAAAGATACTTACATTTGTACCTTCAGCAAATAAGGTCAGTGTTCAAGCCCAATTAACTAGGAATTAATATTGCTGATCTTCTAGGCCATTAAACCACTGCGCCGTTTTATATATTTGTAAAATATCCAGTTTAGATTATAAACCATTGCTCTGTCGGATGCGTTCACAATGCTTTAGAAGTGCAGATGTTCATTCTTGCTAAGTTGAATCACTCATATTACCACTTTATTCCATTTGTAAGAAGGAAGTTCTAATATGGATATTTCTCAGGAACTACTACTTTCTGAAGTATATGGATTTACCATTGACTGCTTTTTCAAGTCAATGGTCAATCGATATCTATCCGTATCATAGTTTTAAATTCCCATATTATACACATGATTACGTAACCCTCTGACTTGTGTGTATCTGAAGCCTTGTATTGGATGGACTTTAGTAAAAGAAATCATCACAATGATCAGTCCTTTGACCGGCTGCGACCGTAGGATCTCTGAGTACCAGAGCGTCTTACCAGCTACCTTCTTATGTCTCGGTTGCGTGCCAATGTCTGAGTTGATTTGAATGAGTTTCCAGTCCATTCATTGATGCTGCCATCCCATATTTTTCTCTGTCAACCCATTCTTCTTTTGCCTAAAACGATTCTTTGCAGGGTAGTAGGAGAAAGCTTGTCGGCTCTTGGGACGTGCGAAATACCATTTCCATATTCTCTTCTTGGCGGTCGTTATGAGGTTCTTCCAACGAATCCGTTTCTTGCCTGATGGTGGCGCTTCTTTCTGTATGAAAGATAAATGCCAACAATTGTTTTGTAGCGTCTCTTTTCTAGCGCTTGAATTCCTTGCTGTAGTTCTGCCGTTAATGCCTAAGATTTGCAGACACACAGAAAGACTGACAAGACCAATCTTGTGATTCCAGATAGATGTACTTGTCTTTCGAGACAGTTCTTAGTTTTGCTACAGATGACATTGTTTGTGAAGCTGGTGACATTTTGTCCATTCTGGAGATCTCTTCACCGATAATCGATCTTTAAGTTCAACTTTTGTCAAATTATGGGGAACATATTATGACAGTTGAGGTACTGTTCTGAATTGCTGCAGATGTCAGTGAATTGTTGAATGTCTTGGATTCAGAATTTGAAATATGGCTTAAAACATTACAGAAATATACATACATATATATATATATATATATATATATATATATATATATAGAGAGAGAGAGAGAGAGAGAGAGGAGAGAGAGATAGAGAGAGAGATAGTTCAGGAAACTGTAGTTCAACGTTAAGTTCAATGATATACGAAAATGTGACAAATGTCTTAAATTAAAATCCTCTTACCTAAATCTTTCAAGTATTCGGGAAAATTATTTCATTTCAAGAAACAATTCCGTAATCCCCATTCAATAACTTGTGTTATTACTGCAGCATTTTTGCCTTTTCTAAAACACCTTTTGCTGAAATCTGGAAGGTGGAGTGGTTATCGGCGCGAGAAATGGACTAGATAAGAGGTGTTCAAGTTGCGGCCTAGTCATTTGTTTTCAATTCCGGCTAAATAATTTTAGGAAAACTATGAATCAATCTTCTGTAGGCAGAAATAGCAAACAGAATGGGTTCCGAGACTTTGGAAGGTAACCATTCTAGGAGAATGCTAATTCTGAATTCAAGACCAGGAAAAGGCAACGGGAAACCATTTTTAAAAATCTTTTCACTTCAAAAAAGCAATAAAAGCCCTAAAAACAAGGGGCTAGTGAGTTTGAAAATATATGAGAAAAAGAAAACATTAAGGAGCGAGAACAATAAAATAAGAGGAATAAAGAAAACAGAATATAACGATTGACATTGCATTACAATTATTGAATTTCAACGTTGACTGGAAAGCAACAACTCGGTAGTTAGTCCCACAAGCGAGAAGTTCGAGAAAAGAAACCGTTAGCATAGAACTCATAGTATGTCTAGCCGGTTCAACTATAAAGTAAGGGATATTTCTACCAATCTAATAATGTGGTTAAGTTCATAGTCTAGATAAAATAGAGGAAAGATCATCAGAATAATTAACATTAAATTATGTCTAGAAATGTCACATTACGGCGATGGGAATGTGACTGAAGTCGAGATACCAGTTCAGGATCAATAACATTACCGTTTCATCTCCGGATTTTATCAAGATTCCCTTAATATATAGCAGAAGCACGAGACCATATGTGGCAGTAATATTCTAAGCATGGACTAATGGTTGACTTATAGCTATGTAAGATAGATTCTGGAGAGAAAGATTGTCTCGCACGACACTGAAGCAACTTTATTAGAAGCGGACCTAGTAACTGATTCAATATACTCTTTCCACTTTATGCCAGTAGAGAACTTTAGCCTGAGTTCCAAAGAAGTTTTGGCAACTCCCAAACAATAAAGAAGAACAAGGATTATACAGAGATCTATGATCACCAATGCTTTAAAAAATCCTAAAGTATTATATGTCATTGCTACGTAGATACATCAGTCTTTAGGTGGGGGTCTTGCTCGTAAATAAGTTAGTTGAATCATACTGTGACGTCATTAAACTTTACCAGCACCCACGGACCTGTACTATTGTTAGACTGAGTCATAAGTAATTTCCGTTTTGGGTGACAAATTCTAATGATGAATGTATCATCCTAACTAACCATTCCTTAAACGTATCATAGCAGGTGATGAAAAGTGGGTTACATACAACAATGTTGAACATAAAAGGCAGTGGGTTGACAAGTATAAAACACCGCAACCATAAAGCTGAGCCCGATGGAAGAGAGGTAATATTGTGCCTGTGGTGTGTTCGTCGGGAGATTGTTCATTTAGAATTCATAAACTGCAATGAAAAACTAAATTAATATTTATATGTCCTTCAGCTGGAAACTGACCGTCAAAATTTGATCGTCAACAGGGAAAAAATATTTTTCTCCATTACAGTGTAAGGCTACATAAAAAAGAATAACATAGGAAGATGTTGTTTCTTTTTTTTCAATCGGTTGGTCTGTTCTAAAACCCCTACCCACCGTGTGCCATACATATTAATCTGACCTTTCATCAAGCGATTATTAACTTTTTCGATTGCGGCAAAATGCATTAATGGGGGAAGGGTTTCTCGAATGACATCTAGATTTTAAAATTCGTCGAAAATTTCTCCATGTGAAAACCTGCGGAATTTTACTTAAAAAAATTAAAAAATTATCAAATAGCTTCCTTATATGTGAAAACAGTTTATTACATATATAATAGCATTCCATTCAGAAACGATATTTCACTTCATTTAGTGAAGAATGGGGTTGATGAACAAAAATGTAAATTATTTATTGTTGTGGTAGGATCCACCAAATTTGCATAGTGGAGTACCGACCATATAAATATGGTTGGTACCGGGAAAAGAGGGAGGAATCAAGAGATTCAACCAGAGACTCTGCCCGATTGCGACTCAGTCAACACATTCTCCAGGAACGGTTTACCAGGAATATACAAAAGACTATATGTAAATATTGTGTACACTTTCTTGTTTCAATACATTTTGTTCTAAGTACCTTTTGTGTTGCATTATTATTCCATGCATTAGTCAAGTTTCAACATTTATGTAATTAAATGTAATTTAAGCATTTTAGAATAACGACAAACTCATTCTATGACTATCAGACATCGGCCATTACGTATAAGACGATATTATATATCCCTGCTGATTGGGGTTTGATTTGTGACAATGTTAAACCCGTACAAGATGTGAAAATGTCTTTTGTTGAT